GATGGGACCAAACTCCCTTTGTGATTTTAAAACATAGGCCAGTACCCAGATTTGAAGACTACAGTAAGATTTAACTTCTACTGTTAATAAGATTTTGGTAGGCTACTATTAGATAGATAGCCTAAATGTCCTAATTCATATGGGCTACCTGTTTTTTTTTTTTTTTTTTTAATGGTATATCAAAAAGTGTATATTTTTTAAATGTGATTGTTGGTACATTTTACCAGTTTTTACCATACTTTCAAAACAAAAATGAAAATATGCAATATGAAAATAATTGAAGACAAAATGTGTTTTACTGAGAAAAAACAAGATTTGGTTTTTAAAAAGCCTTTTTCCAAAAGGTACATCTGGAAAAAGGGGGGTCGTCTTATAATCAGGGTCGTCTTATTTTCGGGCCAATACGGTAATATGCTGATTTGCTGCTCAAGAAACATTTTGTAGTATCAGTTCATTATCAACAGTTAATGCTGCTTAAAGGGGTCATATGACGTTGCTAAAAATAACATTATTTTGTGTATTTGGTGTAATGAAATGTGTTTATGCGGTTTAAGGTTCAAAAAACATTATTTTCCACATACTGTACATTATTGTTTCTCCTCTATTTTTTTTGCCTGTGTGAAACGCGTCGATTTTTACAAAGCTCATCAGTCTGAAAAAGCGAGGTGTGGTGTGATTGGCCAGCTATCCAGTGCGTTGTGATTGACCGAATACCTCAAGCGTGTGACGGAAATGTTACTGCTCAAAACTCGCGTTTGAATCATCAGTGGCAAATCCTTTAAATATGAAATCGTACTTACAGGCTGTGAGTCAGCATTATTTGTCAGCATCATAAACAGTATAGGGTCAGCATGCGCGCCGAAGGGGAAACAGGGGAACTGAATTCACCGGAACACCGGCATTGTAGGCTACTCTGTTGCACACATCTGAATATTTGGGTTGAAGTGTTCTGGAACAGTGTTGTAAATACAACTTAACCACTGATTTCTAGTCGTGTCCTCTTTTGGAAGACCAAACAAAGTAGGTTCGCTTTCCTCCACAAAACACACAGCGCCTTCACGACATGGCGGCGGCGGCAGCAACAATACTACAGCGAGAATAAAAGTCACGCCTTCTTTCTTTGCGTGCACATTTGGGCGGCGTTATGCAAATCTTCCCACATCGTGACGTAGACATGTGGGGGCGTGTTTGAATGAGTTTTAGGTAGGCGTGGCTGACTCTTAACTTTTATAAAGAATATCTCTTTGGGTTTGAGACTTTAGTCGTTGTAACTTCAGGGATTTTATCTATTCACGAACAGCTTGCAACACTCCAAAAGAGAAAGGAAAGCTTGACATCGCATCATATGACCCCTTTAATACTTTCGTGGAAACTATTAGATATTTTAATGGCTGGATCACTGTGTTGACCAATCAGCATCAGGGACCGGTATTATCAGTGTCTTCTGCCTCTGTGTGTTGCAGGAATGCATTCCAGACCTGTACACACACTTCCTGAACCTGAGTTTGGAAGCACACATGTATGCCTCCCAGTGGTTCCTCACGCTCTTCACAGCCAAATTCCCTCTTTACATGGTCTTTCACATCATAGACCTTCTGCTGTGTGAGGTAACATTTCATTCCTACCTGCTTTCAGATATATTTTTCTGATGTTCTCTTTGCCTAGTTTACCTGTTAATTTATAATTAAGGGCTGTTATCTTATGCAATACATTTTATTTTGATATTTATAAACCATCTTTTGTCATTTTGAATTGAACATGACAATAGCAACATCCAGTCAAACCAAAAATTATTTAAAATTTTTTCCGAGGTCAGCTAATATGATTTCCATTTTTAAAAATTCTGTCTTTGAAAACATTTTATCTAATATAATAAAACTATGTGACATGGGCATGAAAATATACTTGATATTAAGTTTTAATCCTACCAATATAGTTTTTTCTCCTTTCAGGGCATCAGTGTCATTTTCAACGTGGCCCTTGCATTATTGAAGGTAAGGAAGTGCATATGAAATCAGTTGCGATTCTTCATCTTTTTCTCAGATGTTTCACTAAGGAGACATAATAAATATGCAAGGGGGTGCTGTTTCCTGAAAATTAACCTGCAAATCACCTCTCTCTCATCGTCATGGTTACAGCTTTTACTAAGATGTTAGACAAAATTGGTGTACCACTATCACACCTCACCAGCAGAAAATGAGCATCATTAACTCAAGATCACAAAATGAGGGCGCAGTGTTGTCTGTCTCTTGAAACTTTCTTAAAAGTTCTCTGTCTGTCCACAGACATCTAAAGACGACCTGCTGCAGACGGACTTTGAGGGCGCACTGAAGTTCTTTCGAGTGCCAGTGCCCAAACGCTATCGCTCTGAGGAGAACGCCAAGAAGCTCATGGAGCTAGCATGCAGCATGAAGGTAACGGCCAGTGTTCAGTCTGTTTATTTAGTTCAAACTGAGATGTATGTAGAGTATTTAATGTGATGATCAGGAAATGTCATAATGGAAAGGAATAGTTCACTCATACATGAAAATTTGCTGAAAATGTAATCACTGTCAGGCAATCCAAGATGTAGATGAGTTTGTTTCTTCATCAGAACAGATTTGGAGAAATGTAGCATTACATCAGTTGCTCACCAGTGGATGCTCTGCAGTGAATGGGTGCCGTCAGAATGAGAGTCCAAACAGCTGATAAAAAAACATCAAAGAACGATAAGATAAATCAACTTCAACCCATTGCTTCTGGCTAAAATATGAGTCTTCTATGCATAATATTGTTTTCTCCAATGAAAAAGTAATCTCATCTGAATCAGGAGAGAAATATACTAATTTCAAGCACCGTTTAAAAGTGAAAACAGTCCAGATATGTTTGGTGAATTTTTAAGTGAGGGGACAACAGGGGATGCACTTTTTCACTGGAGGAAGCAGCTTTTTACTTCTCAAGATGTTAACTGATGGACTTACTTGTAAATTACTGTGATGTTTTTATCAGCTGTTTTGACTCTCATTCTGACGGCACCCATTCACTGCAGAGGATCCACTGGTGAGCAACTGATGTATTGCTACATTTCTCCAAATCTGTTCCCATGTAGAAACAAACTCATCTACATCTTGGATGAATATTTTCAGCAAATTTTTGGATAAACTATTCCTTTAATAAAAAAAAATATATATCTATAATTTATATTTATTATATTTTATTTATTGTTTATTATTTATTTTTTAAGCCCTTAAAAGTAAAACAAGTGGATAGTGCAAAAAGTGAGAAGTGACAGAACATTTTCCTCTTCATCAAAAATGACAAATGCAACGATTACGCTAGTATGACAGTTCACAGAAAATGATAAAGAGAAGCTGGGGCAGTAGGACCAGGAACTGATGCAAGTTGAACTCTTAAATACACTTGTACCATATATTGTGCTGGTGTGAATGTGATTTTCATTTAGGCTGAAGGTTCTTTGTGAGAATAGACCATTTATCTGAGATTTGCTATGCTTTTTTGTGTTTTATGGGGTGTAAAAAGTATTGATGTAATTATTTGGATGGACCAGCAGAGGACACTGCAGGAGTAAGAAAGAGACCCATGATACTAAAGAGTTCTCAGTTCCTGTTTTGATTATTTACAGCATCTGTCCTCATGTGTTGTTCAGATCTACTGAATGTTATTTTTACATCTACTGCATTTATTTGTGATTTATGAAATATAGTTTTTTCATAACATTATGTAAGTACATAATAAGTTAGTGATTTATTTTTATTTTTAAGTGAATATTTAGTTATATAGTTAATATAAGTTAATTAATAAATAATATCAATTTATGACATTATTTTTGAAAGCATCCTCATTTTACAGCACTTTTTGTGCCTAAAACTGTTCACAGTATTGTAGCTTTGCAGGAAGGTTTCATGAAGTGACTTGGAGACGTCGTCACAGTTCTTCTGGATTTAGTCTGTCTCAGTTTGTTCATCTAATCTCAGACGGACTGGATGATGCTGAGATCAGATCTCTGTCTGCAGCACCGGCTGCTGTCAAACTCACTGTGCAAACAAAAATCTCACTGCATTATTACAATTAATGGCACATTGAATGTTTAGAAATGTAAACTGATATTTCCTACTGACACAACTACAGCAAAAGATAGAAATAACTGAATACAACCATTTTTTTGTTGGTGAAAATACTAATGTCCTAAGACTTTTGCACAGTAGTGTAGTTTGTATTAATATTTTAAATTAACTTTTAGATTTATATTTCCGTTTTCCTTTTCATTTTTGTTAAATTAAGTAATTGTATTTGTAATTTCTATTAGTTTGTTTTGTTAAAATATTTATTTATATGTTAAATCTATTTTTATTTAAATTTTAGTTTTTATTTATTTCCAGTTAGTAATTTTAATGCTTCTATTAAACTTATTTCATCAGTTAGTTGCCAAGGCAACATTTCTAATTTTCGTGTAAGTCTTTCGTCTAATATTTATATTCAGTTTTTTTTTAGCTTAATTTTTAAATAAACAATATTTTCTGGTTCACAAAAAAAAAAAAAAAATTCTGTTACCATTTCCTCACCCTCATGTCGTTCCAAACTCATAAGAACTTGGTTCATCTTTGAAACACAAATAAAGATATTTTTTATATTCTTTCATAATTTTTCCAGCTATTGAAAGTCCACATAATCAAAACTATCACATATCAAAAAGTACATAAAAACTTCATAAAAATAATACATATGAATCCATGGTTTTTAATCTGAGTCTTAAACACGATCACGTTATATGATTAACAAATTTAGTTATTTACTCACATATAAACACTGATCAACGCACATATATAGAGCACATCAAATGGAAGCTCAGTGTAATGACCAAAATTAAATTTTTTAGTGAACAAGCTTTTAAAATGATATATCGATCTCCATATTTTCAATATGTGACCCTGGACTACAAAACCAGTCATAAGGGTCCATTTTTCCAAATTGAGATTTATAAATCATTTGAACGACTTAAGACTGGTTTTGTGCTCCAGGGTCACATATGGACTGAGACTGAACACCACTGTATCTGTCTGTCTGCCTGTAGACTTTGTTTGATTGATGTATCAGTTCCTCATCGCCGTCAAAACATGACGGATTGAGTTTCCTGTAGCTCTCAATCCCTTTCCTCCAAATACAAACTAACCTTTTTTTCTCATCTCCTCATTCAAGCCATCCCATCACAACACTGAAAGCTCACTTTCACCACTGAGTTTGGTTGTGTTTGTGTGTTATTTCAATATGAGGGGCCCAGTTGTCCTCAGTTTTACTGACACCACACACCAGTCACGATCAAAAGAGCTTTTACACACTGCGACACACACACACACTTTCATTTCACTGCACCCAGGCCTAATTGTTCCCTGTGGTGTCACTGAAAACACGCTGACTGATGAACTACTCTTGACATTGAGGGCTTTTATATGGATCTCATTTCATCTGTGGGAGCATTACTGATTATATATGGAACAGAGCCGGTTCTGTGTCCTAGAGCTAGTCAGATATGACGCAGTCAGTGCTAAATAGAGCTCATTTACAAACACGCACGTACCTGCCTCTCTCGTGTTGCTCACACAGTGTTCTGGTGAGAAATGACTGGTGCTGTACACACAAAACACACTCAGTTACAGAAATTGGGTCATTCGATGCAGGTGGATAAATGTGGAACAGCTTGTGTGTTTGTGTCCAGAGTGAACAGAAATCCTGTTAAATGAATTAGCGTTAGTCTTGTTGCATTTGGATAGGTGAACTTGTCAGGCCCTTTCACAGTTTTGAAGTCATAAAACCTCGAGTAATTCTTGCTAGCTGTGTAGAACTTGATTCTTGAGTATCGACATCAAGTCTGGTCCACTTCAGAGCAGATTCTGACCAAGAACTGATAGGACGGGGCCAAAAGTCTGGCTGACTTGTGAAGTAACTAACACCTGCATGTCACCTTCCAAACAGACTGAAATTGAGCAGAGGTCAGCCAATAAGATTGGATCTTGCAATTTTGTTAAGCTCTTTGCATACATGGCATTGCAGTGCTGCGTCATCACATAAACTTTGCTAGTTTAAACATTAATTTAAAAGTGATTTTTAAATGCGAAAAGCTGTGAAGGAGAACTCAATTCCGTTCTCGCATGCTGTTCTGGCACACACCTGACACACACGTGCAGAAGGCTGCCTGTCTGAACAGCAAAAGTACCAAAAAGCTTTTTCAAAGCTTATTGACATTCAATGGTCAAATACAAATACAACATTAGGTCAAAATGCCAACTTTGCAACTATTCATGTGCACATTTGGGCGCATTATGCAAATATTTCCACATAGTGACCTAGATATGTGGGGGCGTGTTAGAACGAGCCGTTTTAGGGGGGCGTGGCAGAGTCTTAACTTTGATAAAGAATATCTCTTTGGGTTTGAGACTTTAGTCTTTGCAACTTCAGGGATCTTATCTATGCACAATCAGCTTGTAACACTCCAAAGAGAAAGGAAAACTTGAAATCGCATCATATGACCCCTTTAATTAAACGTAAACAGTTTGTGAAGAAATTAGATGTGTAAATATAGTGAATATGTACATTAGGTCATAAATCAGCAGCCTCATATACCTGCTGCTGTCTGTTAATAAAAAATAACTTGACTCTTGACTGAATTATTTTTGTTGCTTTAATAAGAATAATTCTAAATTGAATTCAGTAGTTCTTAATAATGTTAGACTTAAAAGCAGTATATTTCATTTGTATCTTTGTTCTTTAGTATTTATTTGTCCTATTACTTTTAATTACTTTCTTTGTTCTTATTTAATTGCTGACTGTTTACTGTCTTCACTAAGTTTGAAAACTTTTTATTTATATTAATTGGACTAGTATTAATTTTTGCTTTAGTTTCAAAATTGGTATTGAGAATTGTGAAATTTCAATGTCATCTAAAATGTTTGCATCCTAAAAAAAAAAAAAAAACTTATTTCCAGCAAAAAGAACTACAGTATATTGTGATTAATATTGTTATTGTAAAATAAAATGACTTAAATAGTGATATTAGATTTTCATCACTCACTTCTAGTTCTTGACTATATTTGACTTTGCTGTTGGAAACTCAGACTAGCTTTAGGCAGATAAGCACTAATATTTTTAGCTTTAAGCCTTGCTAAACATTGCTATAGCCTTGCCAAATACTGTCCTGTGTCCCTGCATACCTGCAAACTCGTCACCTTTGAACAAAATTCACTGTTGAGGTTATATATATCTGAAGGGATCTGGCTGTCTACAGAAACGTTTTGATGCCATTTTCTTTTCTTATTGCTACTGTATGATGCCTGATAAAGTAAAGTTTAAAAGCACTGCTTTGTGCACAGTGATAACAACAGTAACTGCTGTATTTCTGCATTTCCATGAGCGTCACCTACTGTCAAAGTGTGGAATTGCATTTTCATTCAGCCCATCTGTCATTTTTGCTCAGAGCAATTATATGTAACATGCGTAATCATAAGATATACCTTTTTTCTTAGTTGTACTTTGTCCACATCTATGTCAATACCCTCTTCTGTGTGTTTGTTTTTGTATGTCACAGATCAGTCAAAAGAAGCTGAAGAAGTACGAGAAGGAATATCACACCATTCGAGAGCAGCAGGAACAGCAGGAGGCGCCCATCGAGAGATATGAGGTAGATTCATCCTGCGTCTGTTTATGTGTGTGTCTCTGCCGGGATTTACACATGTGCATTCATGACTGTGTGCATATGAATATTTACATGATGCATCAGGGCACACGTGCGTTTGCCCATATGTGTTTAATCTTGGCTAAGATTTCGTTCTCCTCCTCAATCAGAGCTAGTTTTCTCCTCTGTGCTGAGCTCAAACTCATTTTCCCCCATGCCTATACCATATCTCGTGCTATTAGCATATGTGCTTTGTGCTTATAATGAGCAGTGATGTGAGAAGAGGTCACCGCTGGGCTTTTTTAACAGGCAGAGTGTCTTTTAGTACAATAGCCGGAGGACTGGATGTCCAGTCAGTGTGTTAATTGCTTTCTGACATATTTCCCTCTAACTGGTCAATTTTTAATCAGGTTTCTTCTCCAAGGTTCCTTGTATTCCCACACAGTTAACCATTATAGTGACTGTCACAAGACATTCACACGCTGTGTCTGCTCTGTAGAGAGAAAACCGGCGGCTACAGGATGCTAACATGCGTCTGGAGCAAGAAAATGACGATTTGGCTCATGAGCTGGTCAGCAGTAAGATTGCCCTGAGGAAAGACCTGGACAACGTAAGTCTTTCAGGCAGTTTGACGCTATTTTAAACATTTATCTACATTCACACATGTCTGTGGCTTCTGGTATGTGTATTAATACACAGTGTGTCCTTTTTCCTTAGGCCGAGGAGAAATCTGACGCACTCAACAAAGAGCTTCTCATCACTAAACAGAAACTGGTGGAATCTGAAGATGAGAAGAGACGACTGGAGGAAGAGTCAGCACAGGTCAGACACCTCCAACATCAGCCAAAACCTGCTACCAGTCAAAATAGTAAAGTGTGTTTCAGAAATAAAGCTATGACATAACACATGTTGTGTAGTGAACAAAAAATTGTCAACAAATTGAGACTATCTTGTATTTTCCTTCAAGTCTGCCTGGTTTACAGCTCTGTTCTCTAAACCAACTTCTTGAGGTGCATCCTGGGATGCTCTTTAAACTGTATTTAACTATTCTTTGTTTCTTTTACTTCACTGTCCACTCCAGTTAACCCATTTAAATATATAAATAATATAATAATCAATATAATAAATAATGAAAATATATTATCGTTTAAAAAAAAAAAGAAAAAGAAGCTTTTTTCCACATCACCTGAAAGCAAAATATATGTGAAATTTTTTTTTTGTAAGGTGTTTAGGATGTCTGTTCAACCATTTTTGGTTTCTTTTTCTTTACTATCCTCTCCCATTTAAATGTTTGAAATAATACATAATAATAATAATCATTGAAATAAATATAATTACTAGTATAAAAATATAATTAAACATAAATTACACATAATCTGAAAAGCAAAATCTATGTCAAATGGTTTATATGGTTATTGTGGTGCTTTCTGAATTGAAACTACTTTTAAAAAGAGACAATCCCATATTAATTCAGTTTTATTGGATTTTGTTAAATGCCTATACAGAAAACAAATTTTAAGATAAAAAAACAGATTGTTTTATGATTGGAAGTGTATGTCCTGGTAACCCTGTAATGAGTTGACGTTCATGCGCTGTATTTGTGCCTGTATTCTGGATGGAGTGGTGTCAGGGAATGATCCCGAGGAGGGCAGACTCTCGGCCTGCTGGGTGTGTGTTTGACTTGATTGCTGTGGTTCCTCCGAGACAGCTCTTATATTACTGCAGCAGTATGGCCTGTGGACACAGTTGTCCTTTGATAGACAGGAGAGATGTCTCCCGGGGGTTAAACATAGGATCGTTGTGATATGAGTGATTTATTTTTAGGAGAAAAAGAAGCAGACTTTTTAACTTGGGCTCTGTGTGTTTTCAGCTGAAGGAGATGTGTCGGAGAGAACTGGATAAATCTGAGTCTGAGATCAAGAAGAACGGCTCCATCATTGGAGAATACAAACAGGTGAACACACACACACACACACACACACACACACACACCATAAGTGTCTTCATCAGTGTAAAGGAAGTAAAAAGGCATTATTGATAATTTATGATCTGCTACAATCCTTTATTTCTCCCTCTACAAGTTTTCTTAAGGAAGGAAGAATGGGAGAAAGAACTAGGATTTGAAATTTCTGAGGAAACATGGCAGACGAGTTTAAAGGATATGAATGAATATTCTGTTAATTCTAGAGACACTGCCTTATTCAATTTAAGATCATTCACAGACTACATTATTCAAAAAAATAAACTACATAGAATTGTCCTAATGGTCTCAACTCTTTGTGACTAATGTAATTCAGTAGAGATGCTGATTTGTCCCATAGTTTTATTTTTTGCTCCAAGATGCAGCTGGATGTGATTGGAATGGAATTTTTGATGTGCTTTCAGAGATTTTTAGGGTGCAAATACAGCCGGATCCGGGACTTCTTATTCTGGCACTTTCTGAACGTACACTCTAAAAAAAAATGCTGGGTTAAAAAGGGACAATCCCAGCTATTGGGTTGT